CAGAAGAAGAGAGATCTATGCTTCTTTAGCACTTCTGCTGGAAATATCCAAACCAACAAATCTGAAACTAGCTTGGGTGTGGCAATCTCAGAAGGTGCCTGGCATGTAGGCACTCATGAAGATTCAGCAAGAGTCAAAAACCCACAGCCTTCCCGTAAATGCACTAATTCCAGCCACATATTCTATTACTTGAATACTTGATATAAATAATGAGAAAATACTCAAAAGAAAGATTCCCTTTCTGCATACATCTGCAGATGGCCACTGAGAATGCAAAATGAATGAAACCAGAACTCTATTACCTTAACTGAAGATGAATGGGGCATTAAAGCTTTATAAGAAGTATTTCCCACAGCCTAATCAGTTTGAGGGCAGGACGACAAGGAAGTTCAGTGTTCAGTGAGGTGTCAATGTAATTTTATGTTTTTATTTTCTTCCATTTTGAAATTGCCCAAAGAAACAATTTAATTGCTATACATGCTATAATTTGATTATTTCCAACTAGGCTTTTAAAATACACATTTTACTGAAATGAACAGGGTAGGAAAGGAGTGGCTCTCCTCTACATTTTACTTGTAGTGTTTGACTGGTTACAGCACCATTTTACTGGCCATTTACTTACTCTTTTTATAGGCTCTTACTATTTTTGTCATTTTAATAGGAAAAAGATTATAAAAGTGAAAATCTAGAAATCTAAATTTAACAGAATATTACTGAGATTCCATAATCATGCTTTAGTTCTGCCTCTATGGGCAGCTATCCTTGTGTGTGATGTCAATTCAAGCCTAGGAAATGCCATTACCAAAAATTTGTTCTGCTAAGACCTGAGAAAATACAGTTGCAGTGACAGACATTTCAGGTGCTAATCTCTCCCACTCAAAGTACAGGTGGGAACTCTACCAAGACTTGTCCCAAGAAAGCCTTCTAGTCTTTTTAGTATTGCTTACTCCTTCTATCTGAAAAGTACCTCTTCTACAAGTAGCAACTCAGAAAAAGGTGTAAACTTTCTTCACATCTAAGCAACTTTGCTTAATAGAGCAATACTTTAGCTTCTCATGTCCAACTGGTGTGAAAAATCACAGAGATAATATCCAAAGAGAATTTGGATAACATGTGTGAGAAGGGGACCTTTTAAGGGAGTGGATTTGCAACCTTTACTATACTTCCAGTTCCCTGCTAGAATAAGTAATGTTCTTTTCAACTGAGAGTTTAAGTGAAGTGCTATAGACTGTACTCCAGGCACCCCATGGGTTAACTTGCTATTGTAGTTATTCTTTGACCAAAGTTCTGTCTGATATATTTTGCTAAGTTGTCTAAATCCTGCTGTAGTATTGATTTCTCCCTTTAAAAGCTCTCACCCATTCAGTAAGCTCCAAGGACCCCTTGTCCCAGCTCAATTCACTCTAAAATGCAGCTGGGATATGTTATTCTTGACACCAGCATTACAGTTGCTAACTGATGTTAGAGATATAAGATGGTTTTAGAAGCAGAAAGGGAAATGTTTCTTTACTACAGAGAAATATACAGTACTCCTTAGAACCCTTGGATATTTGTTATCCCCAAGAAAGAGACTTTTTTCCCTTACTCTATTGCTTCCGGTTTTCCATTTATTGGGCACTTAACAGTAGCAACATTGAATTTATTAAGAGGAGAGCATTACCATTATATTCCCAAGCCTGCAGAACCATCACAAATAATGAAAAGACACAAGTAGATGCATAGAAAAAGTAAATTATCCATCCAGGCATCGTGGTCCAGAGGCTCTCTTCTGACAACAGGAGTATGCAAGATAGGTTCTACATCAAGTCTTTAAAATTACTTTAAAATCTACACTGTTAATATTAAGTGGAATTGAAGGTTTCAGAAATTTCAGTCAAAGAATATACCCACTGAGGGGCCAGTCTTGAATATAGGCAGTCACAAAACTGAAGATTTTTGACAAATATGTCCTCTGAAACTGTATCCTTAAACTCACTCTTGTTTTCTTTGTGCTTTGCTGTCCAGTAAGTATATATCTTTAATTACCCACATTTTCTTCAGTCTAATTTCAGAGAAGAAATTCTGGTGCTGGAAAGAACCACTTCTTATTATGGTTCAGTATCACTGCTTCTTAGTCTAGCTTAGTCAGTTATTTTCTTCTATTATAATGCCAAATGTTATTTAGATTTGAGTCATTTAGTAATGGTACACTGAACACATCAAGGATTCTGCAAAATTCCATACCTAGTAGCTGCCTCTTCATTTTCATAATAATCACATATTGATATCCTTTTTTCCCCAAAATTACACACACTGTTATTTAAAAAATATCTTAGTGTCTTAACACAGTTAAAGAGATTATGGTGCAATGAACAGCAGTCTTCAAAAACATTCTTTCATGTTATTAAGATACAGGAAATCTAGTTAAAATTCTTTCAGCTTGTAAGGAACCCTAAGGAGCTTTGAGATGTAGAGCTTGACACTAAGTTTTTAAGAAACTCCCTTGGAGCTATCATCTGCACTAGTGAAGACATTTAGTTAAAGGTAGCACCCTACCTGCTTTACAGAAATCTATCAGTCAATTTAAATGTTGTTATTAGCCACAGTTTGACAAAACTGCAACCAAGGATTTACATAACAAGAACAGTGTATAATTTATTTATTCAGGAGTTGGACTTCGATGATCCCTGTGAGTT